GAGAACTTTATTGGATCCTAATCTAATATCTCAGATTGTGTTCGTCTGCTCTTCCTTCTTGCCATTTACGGTGGAAAATGTGAGGCCAGAGCACCATAAAGTGTTTTGCTTCTCATTTCTAGTCCCATCCCAATTTTATTTTCGTGCCATGCGAGTAGAGTTTAAAAGATAATTAGCCAATTTCTTCTCCCACAGTGAGCGACGCCTCTGCTTACTTTACAAAGATAGGCCTGAACATTACTGCTTACTGTAAAAGACTCAGTATGTAGTATTAACGCTGTCTCGGGCTTTTCAAAGTTTCATGTGTTTCTGGGACACGGTTATTTACCTTAGAATGCAGAAAAAACTATTAGAAAAATGACTTCAGGATAAAATCATAATCTCTTCAAGGAAACTGTGTCACTCAGATACCGTTGTTAAGGGGTGGGGTGCGGGAGCTAGAGGGAAGGTTAGACAGAGATTTAAAAATACCAGCACTTGGCATGGAGCCATGCTTAATGCCTTGAATACCTTGTGGCCTGAAGGGAGAGTGGAATTAAGTCAATCACTGAGGGTTGGATATTAACCCTCTCCTGTACTATCTAATTTGTGTTGATTCAAAAGTAGATTTGATTTCAGTGGTTGCATGGACTCCTCTGGCACCAGGAAGACCAGCCAACTACAACCTTTCTTATCTCCTCTGGTGAAGGCCACCTTTGGTGACAGGTGAATCTCCTAGCAAAGCCTTTCTTCCCACCCCCTCTTATTTTGGGTCCCTGGCAAAATTTTGCATTAAGTGAATGCACTCTTCAAGCTTTTCCCGGTCTCTCTTACTCTCTGTGCCTCTCTCGTTCCAGTCCCCTAGCTAGAGGCTGTGCTCTCAGAGTAGACATCTGGTGAGTTCACATTCTGCTGTTGATGGCTTTAAGATGCTGCTACTCCTAGGAGTATTCTAAGGGGACTCCATCCAAAGGAGCTCATCTCTAAGGGTGGATTTTTGGCTTGGGAGCAGCTACACAGAGAAAAAGTTGTTCTCAGCAGGTTTGTTTTTCCAGGGTCAGTCAGTGACCCTGAAGACAGGGTCCCAGTTCTTTCAGACCTGGAACGGAGGTGCTGCCTACTTCACTTGTAAATAGGGCTGTGCACGATATGGGACATCCTTTGGGGGTTTTAAGGTGCATTTATTGTGACTCATATTAACCACAGAATTTTCCATGGAAGTGGTACCTCAAGGAACTCTTTGTTCAAGGCCCAAATGTAATGAAAGGATCTTCCCACTTCTCACGGTGGGTATTTGCAGTGTAAATGTTGGGGACTTTGTGCCTTTGTGCTGAATGACCGTTTTCCTGATGTCCTTGTAAGGTAAGGGCTCAGCCTAAGAGTGAACGTGGTCTTCCCTGAAGGGTGAGAGGCCCAGAAGTCACCCCTGGGAGGAGGCAGATCCTCATAGAGGAAACCAGACTCTGGAAGTGGGGCGGCTTCTAAATCTCTCTGGGCTCCTGTTTTGAGTTTGGACTTTAAGGAGTTTGAGAGAATGTCAGGGGCTCTTTGCTTCTACTTCACTGAGTCAGTTTTCCTGAGATTGTCTGTGACATTTTGACTTTCCTTTTCTGTGCCCTAGGGTGCTTTCTCCTTTAATCCTGGGAATGCTCAATCAGAAATTACAACCCAGCCTGGAGGTTGGGTAGGGGAGTGGTTTGATAGGGGGTGTGAGGAAACCACTGGTGGGACAGCTGTCCAAGGGTGTTCAGTCCGGACTGTAATATGAACTTGTTTCATCCAGGGCTGTTTCAGGAGATACCTGTCCCTCTCACTTCTTCATCATCATAAACGACTGTCCCTGCACACCCCCCAGCCTCACTGCTGCAGTGTCCCCAGTCTGCCTTCAGGCTACACTGCAGGTACCATCGAATAGGCATGAGCCTTCACAACATGGTGGCTTATTGTATACCCATCTCTAACCCTGGGAACCACCAATTCAGCAGCCTCAGATTCCAGTCTCTTACTCCACTAGGAGAGCCTTCTCAGGCATGGGCCCAATTCTTTCAGACCTGGAACCCAGCCTTTTCTACTTTAATTCCTATTCCCAGACAATTTTGAGTAGAAACCCTACTAGGATGAAGTGTAATCTTCTTCCCCCTGAGTATGCCCCTCTCCCTAAAAGAATTTTACCTCACCAGCCCTCTGAGCTCCCTGTTGGGTCCTCCTCTTTCATGAAGCCACCCCAAATCTTTCCCTCCCCAGAACGAAAAGCACCCCCCCCACCCCACTCACCGATGAATTTTTGGTAATGAATCACACATGCCTCATGACTTACTCCAATAATCATTTCATGGTGAGGGTAATACCCACTTCACTTAGCCTTTCAGGGCAGAAATCTCTGTCTGAAGATAAGTGTCTGGCATATTAATTCTATTCTGCAGAGTGGCTTTGACTTGGGCAGATATTTTTATCTATCTATCACCCATGTCAAATGCTTCCCATGAGCAATCTGGCTGACCTTCAAAGGATGGAGAGTACAGACCTCCCTTGGAAGCCAATGGAAGTGAATTCACTATCAAATTTTTTTTAAGTAAAAATGGGAGATAATTAAATACAGTGTAGTTGTAAAACATATTTCATGGTACTCTACATCACTTCATAAAATAAGCATAGTTCCTATTCTTCCATATGAATTTGTAACATTTTGACTCCCTGATAACTCAAGTAAGAAATGTTCAGGCCGACTTCTTAATAAGCACTTGTTCTAAGGATAAGGTGAAAATGAAACTCTCTCAGATGAAAGGCTGATTGGATGAAATGCTGTGCCATCAGAATAAAGCATGTTACACTCCAGGTACTGTCAGATGAAACAAACATGCAAAAACAGATGCATTGCCTACCCAGAACCAGCAAGTTAGTGTGTGAATATAGTTTTGAATATTGTGGCATTATTGAGTCCTGTACAACCAAACAAACCAGAAGTCTATGCATCTGAATAGATGGTAGCTTATCATTTGGTATCTGGAAAATTCTTACTTTGCTGAATCTGATCCCAAAGTATGGGAGGAGACACAGGGCAGCACCCAATAACCCCATTTATATAGCTTATTGACTTATCTAAGAAAAAACAAACCGTTATTCATTCATATTAGTCTGGACTAATTCTAAAATCTGAGGATTTTGTTTATTAGAACTATTATATTTGGAACAAGGCTGGTAATACAATTTCCAAAAGAGAAACTCTTATTGGAGAGAAATAGAATGCATCATGTTTATGCATTCTATTGTTTATATAATTTATAGTAAAAATGATTGTCTCTCTAGGTTCCATATTAGGAGCATCAGAACCATCAACTAATAGGTAATTTTATTTTGTCTGATTTAAAATATTTATCAAGTTAATTCACAGACTCATGGACCTCCTCCACTCCATGTGTTTCATGGGGAGACTTGAGAAAAAAATGGTACATGTCAATAACATAAAAAAGGAATAGACTGTGATTCTAGAGCCCTGGGTTCTCTTTTCAGTTCAACCAGGTGGTCTTTTGTGTTGACAGTGACTTTCTGATGCACTAAAATTTGTGAAGAGCAAAGTACTCTGATGTCTTTATCATTTTAAGCAGATGATTTTAGCTGGAACATGAAGGGTCTCGACTTACACAAATTGCATGGTCTCTTTCCTGGTCACTGGGTCACAGGTGGCTTGCCATTTTGAGTTGGCAAATAAAGTGCATCTTGATAAATTAGGTTAAAAGTAGACTGCAGGCTGAGAGCACCAATTCAGCTCTCAGCAGGAGCCAGGCAAGAGTGCCATTTGGCAGGAGAAAGCCACTAGTTCTGCACCTGCTCCCCGAAGAGGAACCAGGTATTTGAAAGGCTGCCATAGAACTGACTCAACAAAATCGTTCATAAACCGGATGTGGCTTTGTTTCCTCTCTGTTAGGGGCATGTACGTTGCCATCTCAACTGTACCTAACCTAACAGTAGAGACTGTATGTGAAAGGGCTCAGCGGAGCCCTTCTTAATGGCCAAGTACCTGAAAGGATGCATGATTGCTTGAATTCTATCAAGCAAACCCAATGCTGGCAGGACTGTTCTCCATATGTCACAGAGGGAGCAGAGGAAATGCAGACATCCCTCATCATTTTACCTAATAGTTTAATCTTTTCCTTGAGGTAATGCTGCACTTGAGAAGTAAAACGAGAGAATGACTATAAGCAATCATAATTAAGATGGGACATGTTGAGAGTCTGGCTAAAAATTATGAGATACATCAGACTCATTCACAAAATTGAGACATGGCTGGGAAGTCTATTTGGAACTGTGAACTGTGAGTGGGGTGTGGTCGAAAGAAGAACACTGAAAATCATGGGACAGAAATACAACTGGGAAATTAAGGCAGGCACTCAGTGCACTAAACGAACAGGTTTCCTCTTCTCCTTAGTCATCCTGCTGTGGTTGGCCTGCAGTTCAAAGGTTCTTTCAGATGATCAGATGATAGAATTGCAACAACTCCAAACCCTGAGAATTACTGAAGGATTTGGGAGAGGAAGTGATTTCAGGATTAGAAATGCAAGTTATTGTGTGCAAGGGTGGTTAACAAAGGGACCGGAATTGGTGTGTGGATTTCCTGTTCTTACTTCCTTAAGTGACACCCTCAGGGCATCTGGCTGCTGGGGGGGCAAGTGCTCTCTGCTGCTCTCTTTTTAGCTTCCTTAATCTTGTCTAAGTGGCACCTGTCCCATGGGAACACCTGTCCTGTAGGGATGGCATTGGGTTGTAAGGGTTTGCTGTGGAGTGTGTTAAAGTGAGGGAGAAGAACCAAGGAAATGAGTTTTGAGAGGTTGGCATCAGTGGGGCCCATTTGGGGATCTGAAACCTTTAGGAAATAATTAAAATTACAGAGTGAACGGAAGTCACCTCTTACCTTATGTTAAAGACTCATGTACACTTTAGCGAAACAATTTTTCTAGCTCTGGACTATATAATAATAAAATATTATTACTCTTTTGTTTGTTTATTACTATAAGCATGCAAGGTCATTTTAACATTTACTCTTTATTGTGTTGTATGAAGTACCTATGTAATGCAGGTATGTACTGTACTAAAATCCCCATATTTCCAAAGATCATTACGTAGTGTAGCCCACAGTCTCTGCAGAAGCGCCGTGAGTAACCTGTGCCTTTACACTTGACAATCCATGGTTGGCTGCTATGAAAAGTTTAACAGGGGAAGAAAAGAGAAAATAAAGCTAAAGTATGAATACACTTTTCCAAACATACACATATGCAGCTTACAATGGAAACAAGTCAAATGACAACATTCGATGTAGTATCTATAAAATGCAGACTCTGCAATAAAAAGCCAAAGGCACATAAAAATATATTTTAACTTTAAAAATAACTTAGTTACAGTAATACTTTGCTTGTCCTACCAACATGTAGCTGACAGTCAAAATTCTGCAATATTGACATAATACATAGGTGTATATATAAGGGCTACAAGAAAATCCCACAAACCCATAAAGTTGTTCAAATGTGAAAACAGAACAGTTTTAACACTGAAGAATCCGCTATGGTGAGCCCAAACAACATAATATTGGAAAAGAGTCCAGAAAAAAAGGCTTAGGTGTGAAATAAAATTTTGACTTCTTCTTGCTCAGAAAATGCCGAGTGCTGTGAAGTTCCCCCGGGTGACCGTGCAGCCCTTCGTGGCTGGTGCCATCCTGGCTGAGCCAGATTCCTGTGTGTCTACAAACAAAACCTGTGAGCTGAACATCAGCCATGCCTGCCGAAACGGGTTCTCACTGACTCACTTCCTCTTTTTGCTAGGACGGGTCTTTTTTTTTTTTTTTTTTTTTAAACTGCTTTTGCAAACAAGGCCTAACAAGTAAAAAAATACTCTGTAGGAACATTATCTTAGAAAACCCATCACGTCACTTGCAAATATAGCCAGTGAAGCTCTTCTCCTCGACTGTGGTTGGTGGTTGTTTTATTGTTGTTTTTTTGATACCTTTCATCCCAAAGGCATCGCTGGAGGCGTCCTGCTACTTATTTTTTGTCCATGACATTCAGCACCTCATCCAAAAACGAGGGCCCGAGATCGAGCTGCAGGGAGAGGAGGGAGCCCGTGAGATCCGAGAGGGACTCCTCGGACTTAGTCTTTTCCTTGACCAGCTGGCTCGGGGCGGGATGGTCAAACATGTCCTCGGCCGGCCAGTCGGGGTACTGTTCCGAGAGGCTGGAGGAGTGGCTGTCCCTGCCCTGGCTGGACTGCGAGACGGACGCGGACCCGCTGGAGCCCCAGGAGACATCGCCCTGGTGGGCCGTCCCGTTCTCCAGCAGACGGCTTTTCTCCGGGGCCTGTTCCTCCGCGACGGGCTCGCAGGGGAGCCTGGGCAGCTTGGCCGGCCCGAAGGACTCCTGCTTGGAATTAAAGGTCACCGGGGACAGCAGGGGCAACATGAGCGCTTGGGACCCGCCGATGGTCGGGAGGGAGATGGCGTTCTTGAGCACAGGGGAGGGCGTTTCTGTGAACATGGAGTCGGAGGTGCTGTTGGCCCGGAAGAACTCGCTGTGCCCCGGGAACGGGCCCAGGGGGGCTTTCTCCTGGTTTCCAGGCAAAAGCTCGTAGTTCCCCTGGAGAAAGGAAATATCTCCGAAGACGTCGTGCTGGCCCTCCTTGCCGATGTGAATGGTGTGGCGAAAGTCTCCCAGGGGAGGGCTGATCATGTCAGGAGACAGGATGTCCCTCAGTTTAAATTTCTTTCCTTTCTTGTTGTTGGCCGCCTTCAGGTAAATGGGGGTCTTGGCTGGCATTTTGGAATTTGAGAATGTCTCTCCTGCGAACGGGGAAATGGGCCACTTTCTTCACGGGCGTTCTGCGTGCCCGACAATCCGGCTTGATGGGACACTGTCACACCATTTTCCTCCAGTGGCTTCGGCAGGCGCCGTGAGAGGGGACGGAGGTCGAAGAGACCTTCCTGGAGCTACAGCCAAGTGGGGCTCTCTGGATCGCTGATCCCAACCTCCAATCCCTTCCGCAACATGGAAGCCTGGAAGAGAAAACAGCGCACATTACAGTAAGCGCAGGTTTCACAAGAGCCTGGGAATAAGGGCAGGACGTGTTCCCGTCTGAAGCCGTTTTGCTGTTTCCCTCCATGAAATAGGATAAAAACTTAACACTGAACAAGGGTCCACTAACCTTAAGTCTTACTTCTGGAGGGGGGAGGGGGGGAAAGAAGAGGAAGAGAGAGATATTAAAAAAAACCCAAACCGGTGACATCAGCACTTTTGAAACATGGCCATGGGCAGAATTCTCTAGCCATGCCTCAGATTTTGGTCCTTTCATGACCAGAGTGAGTTCAGCTCCTTACATACAACGGGATTTATTTTAAAATACATTTTCTCTTTTGCTTTGGCACTCACACTAGCAAGACTAATATTCTGTTGTTGAGTTTTATGGGTTAATACAATGAATGGCTAAAATAAATAGTCCTACAAGAAAGGGGCTGGAAATACCATTTACTAAGCGGCAGCGACTATTATATGCTAGTGTCCAACCAAATCTTAATGACGTGAATTCTTCCAGGTGAGAAAACCCTAAGATTCAAAGTCAAAAAGACAACCATTAAAAAAAAGCAAAACAAAAAAAGCACCTTTTCTCAATAACAGAGAACCAAGAAATGGAAGAGCAGGAGCCGGAATCAAGGGGAGGAAGAACAAACCTGCTTCCTTGCAAAGAAAAGCGTGTGATCCTACAGAATAGGTTGGGCCTTCACTTGGAAATACTTTGGGAACATTTACTGATAAGCGTGTATCCTCTCCCTGAGGCAGGCAGAATTCCAAGGTAATCTTGGGATCTGCCTCCCGGTGTTAAGGGCTCTGTGGGTGGAAGCTGTGACTTGCTTGTCACCAACAGGATATGGCAAAGCTGATGGATGTCACACCTCGATTAGGTTACATTATAAAAGAGCCCACCTCTGCAGGCTGGAGGTAGGGACCCCCTTTAGTGGTTTGAACCCTGCTGAGAGGGGGCCTCTGGAGGTGAATTTTGCCAACAACCAGGGGGAACCAGAAAGTGGATCCTTCCCCAGGCGAGCCTTGAGCCTCGGATGAGTCTACAGCTCTGACACCTGGTTCACAGCCACAGCCCTGCCCGCATTCCTGACCCGCAGAAACTGAGTCATTAAATGGGTAGTCATTACACGGGTATCATTGTAAGCCACTAAGGATTGGCGGTAATTATAACAAACACAGCCTCCCTGAACACAGCCTCCCTGCTCGAGGCTACATGAGAGATTGGAGGTGATGAGCTACAAGAAGGCTTGGGGGCGCTCATTTTACAGATGTCACCCTTGAAAAACACCCTCCAACTCTTCAGTCGCATCAGCTGCCAAGGAAAAGCTCCAGCCTCTCCCGCTGCGGGAGCTTGCAATGGCTCCACAGCCACCTCTCCCTGGCCACAGAGCAAGCGAACAAATAAATATTGGGAAGAGTGGGCTAGGTGGTGGCTTGAAGAGAGCCACACCTGCTCTGGAGCAGCTGGAGGCTGGCTGACATCTGCCCCATATTTTTCTTTTCAGCAAGAGTTTTAAATTCACTTGCCTGTGGCAGGTGGTGAGAACTGTGCTCCAGCCCCCACTGGCAAGGTGACAACTGGCTCCACTGGGGAAGCTGCTTGCAGCCAGGCCTGAGGAGGCAGAGAATGACGGGCAGGAGAGACCCATCGCCACCCGGCCGAGGGCGTGGGGAGGAGCCGAGGCAGCATGACCGGCTTTGCACCCAGACTGGGCTCACCTGGAAGCTGCCCAGTAGAACCCCGCAGGCATTGGCCCTTGATTTGTCTTTAGTCCCAACTAAGGCACTGGCTCAACCTCCCTGAGGTGCTATTCTATGGCCACAAGGACAGGCCCTGGGGGTCTGCTTTCTCACGTCAGGTTAGAGAATACGGAAGCCAATCATAGGGAACCCTATCATAGGAGGACATTCTCTCTGTCTTACCTCTCAACTGGGTCTTGCAGCAGTCACCAGTTTAAACACTGGGTCTTCCTGCTTAGACCTCAGAAGTTCCTTCCCCTGTAAGTGCACCACAGCCTAGGGCCTTGTCCCCTAGGGGCCTGGCGCTGCCCTCCTGCCCACTGGGCCTAGTGCCACGACTGCCTGCAGGAGCAGCTGGGGCGCCTCCTGCAGAAGGTGGGAGCAGCCCTGAGGGACAGCTGCCCACACACGGCTAGGAGACAGCTTCCATGGAAAGATACAGTGTGTCCACCACCCCTCAAGGGCATGCCAGGGCTGCTGTGGTCAGCTGGTGGTGCCAGGGTTTTGCAAAGCCAGAAACAGAGGCAGGCCATGTCACATTATTTAGGAAAATACTATAGTAAGAGGCCAGAAAGTTGCAGCAGCCAGAATGCAATTCTCTGTCTCTCATGCACTCACTCACATTCACCCCTTCCCTGAACAGCTGGGGGCGTTGAGGAGGAGCGGTGAGGAGGGGGAGAGAATGCCCGCTCCAAGGTCCCTGCCTGGCCACGGGCACTGCAGGCCCCACGGCAGAGGCTGGCTCAGCCTGGGAGAAGCTGGGTTTTTAGGTCATTGGCATGGACCCAAAGATGGCAGGGCAGTGACAGCATATAGAGAAAAAAGTAAGAAAAGGGCTGGTGAGTAGGCTCGATAAGCTGCCGGCAATGAGATGCTGGAGAGTGGGAGAGGAAAGACGATACCTTAAAAGGCATTTTTCTTCCTTCTGAAAATATTTACACTGTATTTACTGCATAACAGGAACACAGGCTGCTAGGCCTCAGTAATTTGTATTGAACTTCTGCTCTGTGCCATCCCAAATAAATTGGATGTTTTTGTGTGTTTTTAAAGGAATTGGGGCAAAATGTCAGTTTTACAAGTTTAGACGAGTTGATGTTTTCCATGCGATAGGAGGAAGATATCTGAGAGCTCAGATACCACCTGTCTGTGTTATCTGTTATCTTTCCCCTCCAGCTCAGGGCCAACCATGCTCACCCCTCCACTCTGAGAATTCTGGGCTCCCTCACGTATCAGCCAGAGGACATCCATGCCCTGCTTCCTTCCCAGGCTGATTTCTCTTTCAGGATCTCCCCTGCCGTCGCTAATGCAGAAACCCAATGGGCAGTTTCCTCACAGGTAACTAAGCAGCTGGTCCTGGAGAGGTCTGTGTGTGTCTCTTAGAAATAACCAACCCTGAATACAACAGCGAATGTTTATGTACCGGGCACTGCTCCAACCTTTGCCATGTACTAGCTCACTCACAGGAACCCAGGAGGCGGCTGCTGTTAATATCCCCATTTTACAGCTGATGCACTGAGGCACATACTTTGTGCACGGCAACCAGGCACTAAGCCAAGTGGCCAGGCTCTAGAATTTGAGGTCTTGACACTTAGTAAGCACACTTCTTAGGAATTCAGTCAGCTCCCAAATTATGAAGGGGAGGCATTGCGAAGCCTGTTTAAGAGACAAGTGTGTGATAAGGCATTGGGGCTGGGAAGGGTGGGGAACAGGCCTTGCAGACACTGATAGCATAAGCTCAACCAGGTCTACCCTCATTGGAAGTCAGTTTAGCAATTATCTATCAAAACTGCAAATCTCATGCCTTTGGCCCTGGAATTCCACTTACAGACATTTCTGGAGATTTATCCAACTTGCGTATATGGGTACAAGGTTACCAATCCGGCACCATTTGTTACAGCCTTGAGCTGGAAAGAACCTAACTGTCACAGATATATAAAGTGAATCCATACAAAAGGAAATAACACAGGTCTAAAAAATGATGAAGCAGCTCTTTATATGCTGATATGGAAAGGGCTTCAAAGATACCTATCTTCAAAGGAAAAAGAGATCGGTGCGAAGCGTGTTGATACATTTGTATTGGCTTGTATGTCTGGAAGCTCACACAAGTAATGTGACTGCCCACAGGGACAGGAAGTAGACGGAAGGGGATGAAAGTGAGACACATTGATTGGCTGCCTTCTGGGATCAAATCCGAAACGCTGGTATGTGCCCTGACCGGCTAAGTTCACAGGGCTTACAGGCCAGTAGTAAACTGTTGGAGCAGAACTGATGAGCGAGCCCTGGTGGGTGTGTCCCAGGCCAAACGAAGAGAATGTCTAGCCTTCGTGTTTCAGTGAGGACTCTACCCCATCACTAACTACCAGGTCCCGAACCATCCTAGAGTGCTGCCTGCCCACTCGGACCTTTCCTGTTCCCCATCTTTCCTTCCATGCCATTAGTCCTCTACTCCTACTACCTTCCTCAAATTAAAAGAAAAAAAGAAAAGAGGAAGGAAGGGAGGGAAGAAGGAAAGAGAGAGAAATCAAGAAACTTTCCAATGTGTAGCCGTTTCTCAAAAAACCCTGCCCATGACCTTGAAATCTGAACTCTCCACAATCAATCGATAATCCCTTTCCCTGAGTTCTTGGATCACTGTTGCTCCTCTTTCCCCCTCGTAGGTGACACTCAAGATAATATTCACCCGCAGGCCTCTGAAAACAAAGGCCCCAGTTCCTGGGCACTGGAGAGAACAGATCCACCAACAAAAGGGTTCAACTCCCCAGTCAGTTGCTTGTCACCGCCTATCAAGGCCAGAGAGAATGTCTGGCAGATGTGCAGGCATGGAAGTCCAGCTGCAAATGCACAGACTCCCACTTACAGGAATTTGTGAGAATCCAAGGCACAAAAGGCCTGGAGAGGAAGTGAAAGCCACAGGTTTGATAAGAAAGACAAGTGCCCAGTGGCCATTCCTGCAGTAGGCTAGCCAATTCTAGTTTCTGACCGGTGCCCGATTTAAGCCTAAGTGACAATGTTCCTCAGAGGAATCACCACAGCAATAATAATTCAATGAAGGGAAAACGGAAGCGGCCCCTTGCTTCATTTCCTTGTCATCCTTTTGGTAAACAGAGTGTTGCTGAAAAGACCAAAACAAGGCAGTGGCCAGGAGGAGGGCAAAAACAAGGGGATGTGACAAAGGGACCCACCAAGAAATCAGTGCCGCAATTAGAGCTGACTGTTTTGGCAACTCACGGGGCTC